AAACAGTCACATACAGATTATTAAACAGTCACAGATTATTAAACAGTCACAAACAGATTATCAAACAGTCACATACAGATTATTAAACAGTCACAAACAGATTATCAAACAGTCACATACAGATTATTAAACAGTCACAGATTATTAAACAGTCACAAACAGATTATCAAACAGTCACATACAGATTATTAAACAGTCACAAACAGATTATCAAACAGTCACAGATTATTAAACAGTCACATACAGATTATAAAACAGTCACATACAGATTATTAAACAGTCACATACAGATTATCAAACAGTCACATACAGATTATTAAACAGTCACAAACAGATTATTAAACAGTCACATACAGATTATAAAACAGTCACATACAGATTATTAAACAGTCACAAACAGATTATAAAACAGTCACAAACAGATTATTAAACAGTCACAAACAGATTATAAAACAGTCACAAACAGATTATTAAACAGTCACAAACAGATTATAAAACAGTCACGAACAGATCAGTCACAAACAGATTATAAAACAGTCACAAACAGATTATAAACAGTCACAGATCACAAACAGATTATAAAACAGTCACAAACAGATTATTAAACAGTCACAAACAGATTATAAAACAGATCACACAACAGATTATTAAACAGTCACAAACAGATTATAAAACAGTCACACAAACAGATTATATAAACAGTCACAAACAGATTATAAAACACAAAAGTCACACATCACACATTATCATCAAATAACTCACACGGATTATTAAAATCAGTTTATAAAATTCGATTATTAAAACAGTTACTTTCAATGAGGACGTCTCAGTCTCAATCTGGATCTAAAAGCATTGAAGGAAATACGTTCAGATCATTTCCAGTCTTTTTACAACACGTTCCATGAAGAAGGAGCAGAGAGCAACAAAAGATCATTTGATCCAAACCATGAGAACATGTCTCTGAGTAAACGATCCAAACCATATGAACATGTCTGAGTAAACGATCCATAAGAACCTGAGTAACGATCCAAACATGAACTCTGAGTAAACGATCCAAACCATAAGAACATGTCTCTGAACGATAAACCATATGATGTCTCTGAGTAAACCAAACCATATGAACATGTCTGAGTAAACGATCCAAACCATAAGAACATGTCTGAGTAAACGATCCAAACCATGAGAACATGTCTCTGAGTAAACGATCCAAACCATGAGAACATGTCTGTGAGTAAACGATCCAAACCATGAGAACATGTCTCTGAGTAAACGATCCAAACCATATGAACATGTCTCTGAGTAAACGATCCAAACCATAAGAACATGTCTCTGAGTAAACGATCCAAACCATAAGAACATGTCTGAGTAAACGATCCAAACCATATGAACATGTCTCTGAGTAAACGATCCAAACCATATGAACATGTCTCTGAGTAAACGATCCAAACCATATGAACATGTCTCTGAGTAAACGATCCAAACCATATGAACATGTCTCTGAGTAAACGATCCAAACCATATGAACATGTCTCTGAGTAAACGATCCAAACCATATGAACATGTCTCTGAGTAAACGATCCAAACCATATGAACATGTCTCTGAGTAAACGATCCAAACCATAAGAACATGTCTGTGAGTAAACGATCCAAACCATGAGAACATGTTTTTATTTTTTATTTTTATTTATTTATTTATTTGAATTAGGACAGTGCACATTAATCAACACGTCAGCCAAAAGCATCAATGTAAATGTACCAGAATTAGCGTGAGAGCTAAATTGCATCCGTTGTCCTAAGGCAGGAAAAGAAACATTGACAGTAGGAAAATACAAACATAGTACAGAGAACAGCACAAAGTTACAGTCATAGTTACAAGGACAGACACAGGTAAGATAACATAACACGCCCAAGAATTGATTAAGCATTGAACTTTAATTAAACTACCTGTGAGTGCAAGATTGATTTGTTTTTAACCAGATTTTTAGGACCTTTTTAAAGGTGTGGTAATTGTCACAGTTCCTGATATGAACAGGCAGCGAGTTCCAAAAATGCGAGCCTCTGATAGACTCCACCGTTTGACTGAATTTAGTCCTACGACGTTGCACAATACAGTCTCCTCTGGTCAGCGCTCTGGTATTTACTCGAGTGTTACTTATTTGTGATATAAAATTCCTTAATGGTGGAGGGGCAAGACCTTTTAAAACTCTAAAAACTAAACAGGCATCCAGGAACTTCTGATAGCCGTCAAAATCTAAAATATTATACTTACTTACAATGTGGCAGTAATGATAATGTAAAGGCTTTCTATCCAAAGTTTTCAATGTTTTCTTAAAGAGAGACTTGATAGGGCTCATGTTGGACTCTGATGTTTGGGACCATGTGGTTTGACAGTACGTTATATGGCTAAAGATCATTGCATGCATATAAGCCTTTGCAGACTCTGTGGTCAGACATGGTCTTATATGCTTAAAATTTGACAAATTGAATTTAATGATGTGTGCAATTTTCTTGATATGCTGCTTAAAATCTAGATTTGAATCAAAGAGCACTCCTAAATACTTGAATTGTTTAACTTCATTTAATCTCTCGCCATTAACTATCACAGATGGTTGTTCGTTCCCTACTGGCTGACGAGAAAAGAACATGCAGACAGTTTTTTTTGTATTTAAATGAAGGCAAGAATTTTGGAGCCAATGGGACACTGGGACCATGGCTGCAGATAGGATTGCAGCAGCTTCACATTTTGTTTTAGCGTGCACATATAATACAGCATCATCAGCATATAACTGCATGTTAACAGTTTTACAGATGTTGGGGAGATTATTAATATATAGGCTGAACAGAATCGGTCCCAATATTGAACCTTGTGGGACACCTGCGGAACAATTGAGAAATGTGGACTGAACATTGTCTATTTGTACAGTCTGTTTTCTGTCTGTTAGATATGATCTCATCCAGAGGAGGGCGCTCTCAGAAAAATTAAAACTGGATAATTTGGCTATCAGAACGTCATGATTTAAGGTGTCGAATGCTCGTTTTAGATCAAGGAATACAGCACCCACATACCCACTCTTATCTAACATATATTTAACATTTTCTAAAAAGTAACAAGTGGCGGTTTCTGTAGAGTGATGCTTCCTGAACCCAAACTGCATGGGATGGAGCGGTGTTTCACAACAATTTAGGTGTTCTGTTAGTTGTGCAGCAACCCATTTTTCTATTATTTTGGACATGATTGGTAGGATACTAATGGGACGGTAATTCTCAGGTTTAGTTTTGTCTCCTGCCTTAAACACCGGAAAAACCTTGCCATTTTCCAATTTGACGGCACCGTTGCCTGTTTTATGGATACATTAATTAAATGTGCAATTGGACTTGCAAGTGCCTCTTTGTGACGTTTCATAAAATCACTGGAAAGACCAAAGATATCTTTGGCTTTTGAGCTTTTTAGAGAAGAGATTATTTTTATAACATCAGGGATTGTTATTTCTTGTATACTAAATAATGTTTTGCTGAAATCAAGCTTTTTACATGAACTGTCAGTACATTTTAGATGCCCTGTCAGTTCCTCTATTGAACCTATAAAAAAAATTATTAAAGCACTCTACGATTGATTTTGTATTGACAGTTAATGTCCCATTGACCTGAAGCTGTAGGTTTTTAGGGTGATCATCTTTGGTTTGTCCCAAAAGTTTATTCACATTTTTCCAAATCACTTTACCGTTTCCATTTGCACCTTGTATTATCTCTAAAAAGAAATTGGCTTTGGCTTTACGCACCTGATTAACCACTTTATTTCTGAGTGATGTAAAAATCTGACGATCAGTTGTGTTTCCTGTTTTTAGCGATTTTCTGAGAGCACCGTCTCTCTGTTTCATTAACTTTTTAATGTCATTAGAAAGCCAAGGAAGGTTCCCTTTGTGTTGTTTGAATTGGCCCTTTTTGGTAAAACCAACTAAGGTTTCAAGGACCTTCTTTAAAAAAATATCGGAGCTCTTCTCAATGTCACTCTTTTCAAAAAGCTCAGACCAATTTATTTGCCCAAGTTCATTATTCACATCATTTTGAGCCCCCTTTGGTATAAAATGATAAATCCTCTCTTTGTTCGATGTGGATGGAGGATGTTTCTTAATTTTTCTTGAACACATAATAAAATTGTGATCAGAAAGACCAGACAAGAAGTTAAAAGTCTTCAAGATTTTTTCGGGCTTATTGGTAAAAATTAGGTCAATTTTTGTTTTTGACACATTTGTAATTCTTGTTGGTTCTTTTATGATCTGAGTCAAATTGTGTTTGTCAGCTATTTGCTTAAATTTTTTTCTGACTGCTTTGTTATCCCAATTGATATTAAAGTCACCAACAAGAATTATTTCTCTGTTCGATTTGCAATGATTTAAAATAATCTCGAGCTGATCATAAAATATCTCCTTAGCTGAGGGAGGTCGATACAGGCAGATCAGGGTGAAAGACATAGCAGAGGACAGTTTTATATTCAGACCAATACATTCAACAGTGACTTCCTCCGGCCAAATCATTAATTCACTTTTTAAATGCTCTCTCACATAAACGAGTACCCCCCCACCTCTTCCCGTCACTCTGTCTCTTCTATGTACATTATATCCTGGAATATTTACAGCTGCTGTTGGCGATGTTGGGGTTAACCAACTTTCACTAATCCCAAGTACATCAACATTGGAATCACATAACAAATGTTCTATTTGGTCTGTTTTATTCACAATGCTACGGATGTTGATATGACCCAGAAAAATTCCTTTTGGCTTTGATCGCTGATCCCAAATAATTTTAGCGTTGTTGAGAGTTTGAAAAAAATGCCTCTTTTTTTGTTTCTTAATAGCAGGGTTTAAGGACTTTAATTTTACGGCTGATGCATGTCTTTTTTTGGTATTTATTGTTGCCAATGAGAGTTGATATGAAGAACATTCCCCTGCATTGGAATTTCGATTTACTAATGAGTCATTTATTATTGTCTCTTCTTGCAGACTTACAGCTGGTGACAAAGGCCCGGTCAGCCGCGGTGAAGCTCCGGGCAGCTGCGGTGGAGGCCCGGGCAGCTGCGGTGGAGGCCCGGGCAGCTGCGGTGGAGGCCCGGGCAGCTGCGGTGGAGGCCCGGGCAGCTGCGGTGGAGGCCCGGGCAGCTGCGGTGGAGGCCCGGGCAGCTGCTGTGGAGGCCCGGCAGCTGCGGTGGAGGCCCGGGCAGCTGCGGTGGAGGCCCGGGCAGCTGCGGTGGAGGCCCGGGCAGCTGCGGTGGAGGCCCGGGCAGCTGCGGTGGAGGCCCGGGCAGCTGCGGCAGCAACCAGGTTAGCTGTAGTGGTATCCAGGTTAACTGTAATGGTATCCAGGTTAGCAATGGTGGTGACCAGGTTAGCTCTGGTGGTATCCGGATTAACTGAAGTGGTATCCAGGTTAGTTGTGGTGTGGTCCAGGTTAGCTCTGGTGGTTTCCAGGCCAACTGTGGAGGTATCCAGGTTAACTCTGGTGGTAGCAATGGTGGAGGCCTGGACTGCAGTAGTGAAGGCCTGGGCTGCGATGGTGGGAGCCCAGGGCAGCTGCAGTGATATCCAGGTTAGCTGTGGTAGTAGCCAAGTTAGCTCAGGTGATAGCCAGGTTAGCTGTGCCACTCCCTGGCCCTCATTATTTAGGGGAGGCCCAGGATTTAGTTCAATGTCACCGGCCAAAAGTAATGTAATCACAAGATTGATAGCTCCCATTAATGGTCTGGTTGCAACCCTTTGTCCAGGTTTACTTGTTGGCAACCTGGCTTGACCATGATCTAGAAATCTTGTGAACAAAAGATGTTGACTCCTCTTGGCTGGGTAGAAGATATGATTATCCCTTTTTCTTGGGCATGTTAAACTCAAAAGAAGATAGACAGATATGAAAGCAAACCTCTCTCTCTCTGAGTAAACGATCCAAACCATAAGAACATGTCTCTGAGTAAACGATCCAAACCATAAGAACATGTCTCTGAGTAAACGATCCAAACCATAAGAACATGTCTGAGTAAACGATCCAAACCATAAGAACATGTCTCTGAGTAAACGATCCAAACCATAAGAACATGTCTGAGTAAACGATCCAAACCATAAGAACATGTCTCTGAGTAAACGATCCAAACCATAAGAACATGTCTCTGAGTAAACGATCCAAACCATATGAACATGTCTCTGAGTAAACGATCCAAACCATATGAACATGTCTCTGAGTAAACGATCCAAACCATAAGAACATGTCTCTGAGTAAACGATCCAAACCATAAGAACATGTCTCTGAGTAAACGATCCAAACCATAAGAACATGTCTCTGAGTAAACGATCCAAACCATAAGAACATGTCTCTGAGTAAACGATCCAAACCATAAGAACATGTCTGTGAGTAAACGATCCAAACCATGAGAACATGTCTCTGAGTAAACGATCCAAACCATATGAACATGTCTCTGAGTAAACGATCCAAACCATAAGAACATGTCTGTGAGTAAACGATCCAAACCATAAGAACATGTCTGTGAGTAAACGATCCAAACCATAAGAACATGTCTGTGAGTAAACGATCCAAACCATGAGAACATGTCTCTGAGTAAACGATCCAAACCATAAGAACATGTCTCTGAGTAAACGATCCAAACCATATGAACATGTCTCTGAGTAAACGATCCAAACCATATGAACATGTCTCTGAGTAAACGATCCAAACCATGAGAACATGTCTCTGAGTAAACGATCCAAACCATAAGAACATGTCTCTGAGTAAACGATCCAAACCATAAGAACATGTCTGAGTAAACGATCCAAACCATATGAACATGTCTCTGAGTAAACGATCCAAACCATATGAACATGTCTCTGAGTAAACGATCCAAACCATATGAACATGTCTCTGAGTAAACGATCCAAACCATATGAACATGTCTCTGAGTAAACGATCCAAACCATATGAACATGTCTCTGAGTAAACGATCCAAACCATATGAACATGTCTCTGAGTAAACGATCCAAACCATGAGAACATGTCTCTGAGTAAACGATCCAAACCATAAGAACATGTCTCTGAGTAAACGATCCAAACCATAAGAACATGTCTGAGTAAACGATCCAAACCATAAGAACATGTCTCTGAGTAAACGATCCAAACCATAAGAACATGTCTGAGTAAACGATCCAAACCATATGAACATGTCTCTGAGTAAACGATCCAAACCATATGAACATGTCTCTGAGTAAACGATCCAAACCATATGAACATGTCTCTGAGTAAACGATCCAAACCATATGAACATGTCTCTGAGTAAACGATCCAAACCATATGAACATGTCTCTGAGTAAACGATCCAAACCATATGAACATGTCTCTGAGTAAACGATCCAAACCATGAGAACATGTCTCTGAGTAAACGATCCAAACCATAAGAACATGTCTGTGAGTAAACGATCCAAACCATGAGAACATGTCTCTGAGTAAACGATCCAAACCATGAGAACATGTCTCTGAGTAAACGATCCAAACCATAAGAACATGTCTGTGAGTAAACGATCCAAACCATGAGAACATGTCTCTGAGTAAACGATCCAAACCATAAGAACATGTCTGAGTAAACGATCCAACGCAGCAGACCAAGCCTTAGAAACTAAAGTGCACAGAGTCCAAACCTTCTGTGGACAAAGATCCCACTCCAGAATATCACTCACACTGAGGCTTTGCAGTTCATAATGAAAGAAACATTTTAATTGAGTCATTATTTAAGTACAGTGTTTTTCCTATATTTTGTATCTTACGTTGAAACTGTGTAAAATGTTATATTAAATATACTTCTTTAGGAATTCAACTTCTGCTTGTTTTTGATGAATACTTCGGCTTATTACGCTACTGTGTAGTGTTGGTCATTTGTGGTGGTATTTGGAGAGGAAAGTATTTTCTGAGGGGGTACTTAGTGTGAAAAGTTTGAGAACCACTGATCTACAGGTGCTGAGTGAGTTAGTTTGATCATCTACAGGTGCTGAGTGAGTTAGTTTGATCATATACAGGTGCTGAGTGAGTTAGTTTGATCATATACAGGTGCTGAGTGAGTTAGTTTGATCATCTACAGGTGCTGAGTGAGTTAGTTTGATCATATACAGGTACTGAGTGAGTTAGTTTGATCATATACAGGTGCTGAGTGAGTTAGTTTGATCATCTACAGGTGCTGAGTGAGTTAGTTTGATCATATACAGGTGCTGAGTGAGTTAGTTTGATCATATACAGTCACTGGTGAAACACATGTCAAAAAATACACATAGAATGTCAACCAGATCTAGAGTGTGCCCTCTGCTGTGGGTGGGGCCACTCACGTGCTGAGTGAGATCAAAGGATTCAAGTAAAGAACTCAGCTCTTTTGCATTTCTGTCATCAACATTATACACATGAATATTAAAATCACCTGTAATAACTAAACAATCAAAATCTGTGCATACAACTGAAAGCATGACTGCGGTGCTTGTATAGGACTATGAAGAGTATTGGAGATTTATTTATTTTTTTATTAAATTTTTATTAAGAAGAACACAAGATCGGTCAAACAAATTAAAGAATGTACAAAAATGAGGCTCTCCCTTTTTCTTTTTAAACCCCCTCTCTTCCCTCCCTCCCATCCCCCTATCTTCCCCTTACGTATTTCAGATTCAAATTTGAGATTTGGTGGTGATGCTTCTATTAAAACTGCATTTTCTGAATTTTTGTCAAGCCATGTTTCAGCCATGAACATAAGATCAAGATTATAAGAACAAATAAAATTATTGATTAAAAAAGACTTGTTACAAAGAGATCTGACATTAAGCGTAGCAAGTTTCAAAGTTTCAGTATCAGCGGTTGTGGTCGGATGATTCTTACACGGAACAAGAATTAGATTTTCCTGATTAGACTGATTAACTCCAGATGTTTTTCTGTAATGTATTCTTTGTGTTATCACTAAGGGAATGGCACAGGTGGCTTCATGACAGGGCCCCAGCCGGGTCTCTCCTCTAACTAGACTGCCAGTGGCTGCGAAGCAGAGACCCTGTGCATCCTAGTGTTTAGAGAAAAGAGGGGAAGGGGAAGGCGGGGGAGGAGGATGGAGAGGCGGGCAGGGAGGTGTATGGGGTTTTGAGTGATGGGGGAGGGGCAGGCTGAGGTTTTGGGAGTTGGAGCCTCGGGCGATGATGGGAGCTTCAGAGGTGGAGAAGGTGTAACTGCTTCTGAGCGGGCTGAGGATGAGGATGGTTGTTCTGTAACGTCTGCTGAGGACGGAGGAGGTGCAGAGATCTTTGGAGTCAGTGGAGATGGTTGTGTTCCTTCTTCCTCACTTTCACTGCGCAGTCTGAGGTCTCAGGGCAGTCTGAGGTCCCAGGGCAGTGTGAGGTCAGGGCAGGCTGAGGTCTCAGGGCAGGCTGAGGTCCCAGGGCAGGCTGAGGTCCCAGGGCAGGCTGAGGTCCCAGGGCAGGTTGAGGTCTCAGGGCAGGCTGAGGTCCCAGGGCAGGTTGAGGTCTCAGGGCAGGCTGAGGTCCCAGGGCAGGTTGAGGTCTCAGGGCAGGCTGAGGTCCCAGGGCAGTCTGAGGTCTCAGGGCTTCTTAAGTTAAAGAGATTTAAATGTTTTGGGACTGTTTCCCTCCTGTTAGCATTAGCTTAGCCTGGTTTGGGTTTAGCACCACCTTTGATCCTGTGGACTTTGGGAACATAAAAACCATCATGGCTCCAGTCCATTCGGTCCATTTCCTGTGGTTCTGGTCGTGTTAAGGCCGTTTCTGAAGAACTTCTACCTCCTGTTTCAGTGACTCTGGAGGTGAAGAACAGCTCTGGGTTCTTCCAAGGCTTCCTCCTGCAGGCTCGAAGCAACAGGCAGACAGGTACAGTATGGTCTAGACCCAGACCAGACCAGAGAGACCAGAGAGAGACCAGAGAGAGACCAGAGAGAGACCAGAGAGAGACTAGAGAGAGACCAGAGAGAGACCAGAGAGAGACCAGAGAGGGACCAGAGAGAGACCAGAGAGAGACCAGAGAGAGAGACCAGAGAGAGACCAGAGAGAGACCAGAGAGAGACCAGAGAGAGACCAGAGAGAGACCAGAGAGAGACCAGAGAGAGCCAGAGAGAGACCAGAGAGACCAGAGAGAGATCAGAGAGAGACCAGAGAGAGAGAGAGAGAGACCAGAGAGAGACCAGAGAGAGAGATCAGAGAGAGACCAGAGAGAGAGACCAGAGAGAGACCTGAGAGAGAGACCAGAGAGAGATCAGAGAGACCAGAGAGAGAACAGAGAGAGAACGGAGAGAAACCATAGAGAGAGACCAGATAGGGACCAGAGAGAGAGATCAGAGAGACCAGAGAGAGATCAGAGAGAGACCAGAGAGAGAGACCAGAGAGAGACCAGAGAGAGACCAGAGAGAGACCAGAGAGAGGACCAGAGAGAGACCAGAGAGAGACCAGAGAGAGACCAGAGAGAGACCAGAGAGAGACCAGAGAGAGACCAGAGAGAGACCAGAGAGAGACCAGAGAGGGACCAGAGAGAGACCAGAGAGAGAGACCAGAGAGAGAGACCAGAGAGAGACCAGAGAGGGACCAGAGAGGGACCAGAGAGAGACCAGAGAGAGACCAGAGAGAGACCAGAGAGAGACCAGAGAGAGACCAGAGAGGGACCAGAGAGGGACCAGAGGGAGACCAGAGAGAGAGAGTCATCAGTGTCTTCTTCAGGTCCTGTTCCTGTTGGATCCTTCCAGATCCTCAACTCCTCTGTCTTCACTGCTTTGTCCTGCAACAACCAGACGGTGAGAGACACATGGTCCTCTGGGACACATGGTCCTGAGACATATGGTCCTCTGGGATACATGGTCCTGAGACACATGGTCCTCAAACACATGGTCCTGAGACACATGGTCCTGAGACACATGGTCCTCAAACACATGGTCCTTTGAGACACATGGTCCTGAGACACATGGTTCTGAGGTTCCAGAACCATACATAAATACACACATTTATAAATACATATATACATATTTACTTGCATACTTACATGTATAAATACTTTTGTATATAATTACTTACATACATATACATACTAATATAATTACTCACATACATAAACATAATTTTATAATTACTTACATACATATACATACTTTTATAATTACTCAAATACATATACATACTTTTATAATTACTTACATACATATACATACTTTTATAATTACTTACATACATATACATACTAATATAATTACTCACATACATATACATACTTTTATAATTACTCACATACATATACATACTAATATAATTACACATACATATATATACTTTTATAATTACTCACATACATATACATACTAATATAATTACTCACATACATACTTTTATAATTACTTACATACATATACATACTTTTATAATTACTCACATACATATACATACTAATATAATTACACATACATATATATACTTTTATAATTACTTACATACATATACATACTAATATAATTACTCACATACATACTTTTATAATTACTTACATACATATACATACTTTTATAATTACTCACATACATATACATACTTTTATAATTACTTACATACATATACATACTAATATAATTACACATACATATATATACTTTTATAATTACTTACATACATATACATACTAATATAATTACTCACATACATACTTTTATAATTACTTACATACATATACATACTTTTATAATTACTCACATACATATACATACTTTTATAATTACTCACATACATATACATACTAATATAATTACTCACATACATATATATACTTTTATAATTACTTACATACATATACATACTAATATAATTACTCACATACATACTTTTATAATTACTTACATACATATACATACTTTTATAATTACTCACATACATATACATACTTTTATAATTACTCACATACATATACATACTTTTATAATTACTTACATACATATACATACTAATATAATTACTCACATACATACTTTTATAATTACTTACATACATATACATACTAATATAATTACTCACATACATACTTTTATAATTACTTACATACTTTTATAATTACTCACATACATATACATACTTTTATAATTACTCACATACATATACATACTTTTATAATTACTCACATACATATACATACTTTTATAATTACTCACATACATATACATACTTTTATAATTACTCACATACATATACATACTTTTATAATTACTCACATACATATACATACTAATATAATTACTCACATACATATACATACTAATATAATTACTCACATACATATACATACTTTTATAATTACTCACATACTTAAATATATAAATACTTATACATACTTGTATACATACATACCATGTGTGGCAGAGGTCAGGGGTCAGTCAGGCTGATGGACAGATGAAGAGCCGGGTGCAGGTCACGTGGGAAGCACCAGACAACGGTAACCATGGAGACGTCACCTTCAGGTACGGGCACTTCCCTCAGACTCAGTGAACACATGAGTGTGCGTTTTTGTGACTTCATATCAATGTGTCGCATTAGAACGATCACACACTGATGTTACTTTTATGATACACACACTACACACATCTGTTCATATCATCTGTTGTGTGTGTGTTGTGGTCCTGTGGTGTGTGTGTGTGTTGTGGTCCTGTGGCGTGTGTGTGTTGTGATCCAGTGGTGTGTGTGTGTTGTGGTCCTGTGGTGTGTGTGTGTTGTGATCCAGTGGTGTGTGTGTGTGTGTTGTGGTCCTGTGGTGTGTGCGTGTGTTGTGGTCCTGTGGTGTGTGTGTGTGTGTGTTGTGGTCCTGTGGCGTGTGTGTGTGTTGTGGTCCTGTGGTGTGTGGGTGTTGTGGTCCTGTGGTGTGTGTGTGTGTGTGTATGTGTGTTGTGGTCCTGTGGTGTGTGTGTGTGTGTGTTGTGGTCCTGTGGCGTGTGTGTGTGTTGTGATCCTGAGGTGTGTGTGTGTGTTGTGATCCTGAGGTGTGTGTGTGTTGTGTGCGTGTGTGTAATTGTGTTGTGACACTGTGTTGTTGGTGCAGAGCGACCGTGGTGCAGAGCTACTCTCAGTTCTGGGTAAACGTGAGCAGCGCTTCTGTGCAGCTGGAGAGGAGCCAAGGGGACCCTTCTGCTGTGAGTAACTTAATGTGAGTAACTTACAGGGGACCCTTCTGCTGTGAGTAACTTACAGGGGACCCCTCTGCTGTGAGTAACTTACAGGGGACCCCTCTGTTGTGAGTAACTTACAGGGGACCCCTCTGCTGTGAGTAACTTACAGGGGACCCCTCTGCTGTGAGTAACTTACAGGGGACCCCTCTGTTGTGAGTAACTTACAGGGGACCCCTCTGCTGTGAGTAACTTACAGGGGACCCTTCTGCTGTGAGTAACTTACAGGGGACCCCTCTGTTGTGAGTAACTTACAGGGGACCCTTCTGCTGTGAGTAACTTACAGGTGGAGACTCGAAACCTTTTGGAGTCAAAACTTGCAATAGAACCAGTGCACATCACTGAGAACGTGTGGTCTAGAGTCCTCTCTGTCTGGTCTCCTCCTGGTCTCTCTAACTTGCTGGTCTCCTCCTGGTCTCTCTAACCTGCTGGTTTCCTCCTGGTCTCTCTCACTTGCTGGTCTCCTCCTGGTCTCTCTAACCTGCTGGTCTCCTCCTGGTCTTTCTAACTTGCTGGTCTCCTCCTGGTCCCTCTAACTTGCTGGTCTCCTCCTGCTCTCTCTCACTGGCTGGTCTCCTCCTGGTCCCTCTAACTTGCTGGTCTCCTCCTGGTCCCTCTAACTTGCTGGTCTCCTCCTGGTCCCTTTAACTTGCTGGTCTCCTCCTGGTCCCTCTAACTTGCTGGTCTCCTCCTGGTCCCTCTAACTTGCTGGTCTCCTCCTGGTCCCTCTAACTTGCTGGTCTCCTCCTGGTCTCTCTAACCTGCCGGTTTCCTCCTGGTCTCTCTCACTTGCTGGTCTCCTCCTGGTCACTCTCACTTGCTGGTCTCCTCCTGGTCGCTCTAACCTGCTGGTCTCCTCCTGGTCTTTCTAACTTGCTGGTCTCCTCCTGGTCCCTCTAACTTGCTGGTCTCCTCCTGGTCCCTCTAACTTGCTGGTCTCCTCCTGCTCTCTCTCACTTGCTGGTCTCCTCCTGGTCCCTCTAACTTGCTGGTCTCCTCCTGGTCCCTTTAACTTGCTGGTCTCCTCCTGGTCCCTCTAACTTGCTGGTCTCCTCCTGGTCCCTCTAACTTGCTGGTCTCCTCCTGGTCTCTCTAACTTGCTGGTCTCCTCCTGGTCCCTCTAACTTGCTGGTCTCCTCCTGGTCCCTTTAACTTGCTGGTCTCCTCCTGGTCTCTCTCACTTGCTGGTCTCCTCCTGGTCCCTCTAACTTGCTGGTCTCCTCCTGGTCCCTCTAACTTGCTGGTCTCCTCCTGGTCTCTCTAACTTGCTGGTCTCCTCCTGGTCCCTCTAACTTGCTGGTCTCCTCCTGTGGTCCCTTTAACTTGCTGGTCTCCTCCTGGTCCCTCTAACTTGCTGGTCTCCTCCTGGTCCCTCTAACTTGCTGGTCTCCTCCTGGTCTCTCTAACTTGCTGGTCTCCTCCTGGTCCCTCTAACTTGCTGGTCTCCTCCTGGTCTCTCTCACTTGCTGGTCTCCTCCTGGTCCCTCTAACTTGCTGGTCTCCTCCTGGTCTCTCTCACTTGCTGGTCTCCTCCTGGTCCCTCTAACTTGCTGGTCTCCTCCTGGTCTCTCTCACTTGCTGGTCTCCTCCTGGTCTCTCTCTGCTGCAAGCTTTACCTGTGATGTTTGTGTGCAGATGCTGTCGTGGGTCTCTCTCGTCTTCAGTGTGCTCTCTCTCGTCTCCTGCCGCTGAAGCTGCATCAGCCTCGAACTCCAGAGGAACATGTTTTGTTCTTTATAGAATAAAAATAAACTCAAATCTGGATTTCACTCATTTTAGTCATTTTTAGGATTTGTCAATGAACAAGTCTGTCTCTGGTGTCTGTCTATGGTCTGTCTCTGGTCTCTCTCTGGTGTCTGTCTCTGGTGTCTGTCTATGGTCTCTCTGGTCTCTCTCTGGTCTCTTTCTGATCCCTCTTTGTCTCTGGTCTCTCTTTCTGTGGTCCGTCTCTCTCGCTCTGGTCTTTTTCTCTGGTCTCTCTTGCTCTGGTTTCTCTCTCTCTCTGGTCTCTCTCTGGTCTCTCTCTGGTCTCTCTCGCTCTGGTTTCTCTCTCTGGTCTCTCTCTGGTCTCTCTCTGGTCTCTCTCGCTCTGGTTTCTCTCGCTCTGGTTTCTCTCTCTGGTCTCTCTCTGGTCTCTCTCTGGTCTCTCTCTGGTCTCTCTCTGGTCTCTCTCTGGTCTCTCTCTGGTCTCTCTCTGGTCTCTCTCTGGTCTCTCTCTGGTCTCGTTCTGGTTTCTCTCTCTGGTCTCTCTCTGGTCTCTCTCTGGTCTCTCTCTGGTCTCTCTCTCTGGTCTCGTTCTGGTTTCTCTCTCTGGTCTCTCTCTGGTCTCTCTCGTTCTGGTTTCTCTCTCTGGTCTCTTTCTGGTCTCTCTTGCTCTGGTGAATAAGACACAGAGCCCCAGATCCACAGCAGTGTGTCTTTAATAAGGATTAGGATTCACAGCTGAGTCACACGAACACACTCACACCATGTGGGCCACACCATGTGGGCCACACCACGATCAGATTTCATTTCATCACATGTTTGTATCATGTCCCAGTTCCAGAAAAATCTAACATTAAGTCGGTTCAGTCTTTGATCAGATTTAATCACATGGAAGACCAGGAGACACACACCAGGAGACACACATACACACACCAGGGACACACACCAGGAGACACACACCAGGTACACACACCAGGAGACACACACACACACACCAGGGACACACACCAGGAGACACACACCAGGGACACACTCCAGGGACACACACACACACACACACACCAGGGACACACACCAGGTACACACACCAGGAGACACACACACACACACACACCAGGGACACACACCAGGAGACACACACCAGGGACACACTCCAGGGACACACACCAGGAGACACACACACACACACACCAGGGACACACACCAGGGACACACACCAGGAGACACACACCAGGGACACACACACACCATGGGGAGACAGAGAGGTCTAAACATCTATCGACGATAGTCCTGGTTAGACTTATTTGTTAAATGTAATATTTCCTCATGTTTGTATAAAGTGCATCGTTCTGTGGGTTCATGTGACATCACAGACACGTGTCTGTCATGTGACATCACAGACACGTGTCTGTCATGTGACATCACAGACACTTATAATGAGTTAAAGCTGAGGTACGTGACTTTAACCAACAGCAATACAGAGACTTTGTCTGAAAAAGGCCAGAACTACATGAAACGAGAAACGGAAGCAACTGTTTTAGAGCCAGGAACTAACGACAGGGCTCTTTTAAATTCAGGTCGCCCAGCTTTAAAATATGACTCAAGATCATGGTTAAGGGCCGTGAATACAGATGATGCAGATGAAAGCCCTTTAGTCCCTCTTGGTCCTGGTTCTATCCAGGCCGAGCTGGTTCTAAAGTGTTAAAGGTGAGTACACTACAGTAGTATAAATGCAGTGGGGCGTGGCCTGGTCTGGTCTGGCCTGGCCTGGCCTGGCTGAATGAAGGTAAGTCTTGGTGGTGGGGTCACAGGTCGTGGAGCACCTCCAGCACCGTAGCCAGGGACCAGGCCTGGGTCTCACAGCTGAAGGGACAGTGCTGGCCGTTCTCGTTGGTGAGTTCAGGGAGGCCTTTCCACGGAGAGCTGAGGAGAGAAGAAGAAGTCTGAGATAACAGTGAGAACGGCCGTCTGACCCAGTGGGGGCGGGTTTCGGCTCAAAAGTGTCCAAAATGACGTGCGCTGACATGCTGCAGTACCACCCCGGGCCTGTGGGGGTGGACCCAGAAGTAGAATTAGCCAATGCTAACATATAGCGTTAGCAGACCTGTGGAAAACGTCTTTTCAGGATGGACCAAACGTTGTCTCTTGGTCCAAAGCTCCGTTCCACATGTGTGTCAATGCTGAGTGTTCTGGACCAGTCTAGTTTAGTCGCTGTGGACTTTAGAAGTCACTCGTTTAAATGAACGGCTGACGCATGCGCAGATGGGTTTTAACACAATTTTCTTGTGGGCGGGACCACTCGCGGCCATAGGGCTGGAAAGCGGAAGTGCGAGATTTTGCGAGATTTCCACGCGTGGATACAAACAGACCACACGTGCCAGTTGTACGGTGCAGAGATCTCCGACTTCTTCCTCGTTAAAGGACTTTCCTGTGTTATTTTGGACACATTTCGTCTCTGGGACAGAAAAACTGAGTGAGCGGTCGGAGTTAGCGGTGAACTGGCCATGTGCTGACGTTTATATGGCGGGGAGATGAGAAAGGCACAGGGCCGAGTTCAAACATACAGTCTATGGTTCTAACTCATTGTATTTTAATCCACTATCACGCATCAGAAAGAAAATATAGAAACACTATTCCTATGCAAATAAATTGATGTCCCTTACAGCAGGGACGTGCGGTGAGGTTTGTGATTGGGGAGGCACTGACTTTAAAAGTCAGATTTACAATCATTATTCAAATAAAATAGCATTTAATCACCAATGCAATGACATCCACAAACTTTATATACTGTAAAGATAAGAGAACCAGCTTCTTTTAATAATCTCACAACAAATCTAGCTGCTGACTCTGCTCCGCATCAAACAACATCTTTAAGAAGCGCAGGTGCGAGAGACGCGAGGAGAGAGAGACGCGAGGAGAGAGGAGCAGAGAGAGACAGAGAGGAGCAGAGAGACGGAGACGCGAGGAGCAGAGAGAGACGGAGACGCGAGGAGAGAGAGACGCGAGGAGAGAGGAGCAGAGAGAGACAGAGAGGAGCAGAGAGACGGAGACGCGAGGAGCAGAGAGAGACGGAGACGCGAGGAGAGAGAGACGCGAGGAGAGAGGAGCAGAGAGAGACAGAGAGGAGCAGAGAGACGGAGACGCGAGGAGAGAGAGACGGAGACGCGAGGAGAGAGAGACGCGAGGAGAGAGGAGCAGAGAGAGACAGAGAGGAGCAGAGAGACGGAGACGCGAGGAGCAGAGAGAGACGGAGACGCGAGGAGAGAGAGACGGAGACGCGAGGAGAGAGGAGCAGAGAGAGACAGAGAGGAGCAGAGAGACGGAGACGCGAGGAGCAGAGAGAGACGGAGACGCGAGGAGAGAGAGACGCGAGGAGAGAGGAGCAGAGAGAGACAGAGAGGAGCAGAGAGACGGAGACGCGAGGAGCAGAGAGAGACGGAGACGCGAGGAGAGAGAGACGGAGACGCGAGGAGAGAGGAGCAGAGAGAGACAGAGAGGAGCAGAGAGACGGAGACGCGAGGAGCAGAGAGAGACGGAGACGCCAGGAGAGAGAGACGCGAGGAGAGAGGAGCAGAGAGAGACAGAGAGGAGCAGAGAGACGGAGACGCGGGAGCAGAGAGACGGAGACGCGAGGAGAGAGAGACGCGAGGAGAGAGGAGCAGAGAGAGACAGAGAGGAGCAGAGAGACGGAGACGCGAGGAGCAGAGAGAGACGCGAGGAGAGAGGAGCAGAGAGAGACAGAGAGGAGCAGAGAGACGGAGACGCGAGGAGCAGAGAGAGACAGAGAGGAGCAGAGAGACGGAGACGCGAGGAGAGAGAGACGGAGACGCGAGGAGAGAGGAGCAGAGAGAGACAGAGAGGAGCAGAGAGAGACAGAGAGGAGCAGAGAGAGACAGAGAGGAGCAGAGAGAGACAGAGAGGAGCAGAGAGAGACAGAGAGGAGCAGAGAGAGACAGAGAGGAGCAGAGAGACGGAGACGCGAGGAGAGAGAGACGGAGACGCGAGGAGAGAGGAGCAGAGAGAGACAGAGAGGAGCAGAGAGAGACAGAGAGGAGCAGAGAGAGACAGAGAGGAGCAGAGAGAGACAGAGAGGAGCAGAGAGAGACGGAGACGCGAGGAGAGAGAGACGCGAGGAGAGAGAGACGCGAGGAGAGAGAGACGCGAGGAGAGAGAGACGCGAGGAACATAAACAATAATTTAAACAAGTTGCAGAACTCTTGAGCAGTGTTTGAATCAGTGTTTTTCGGAACAGCACTACTTTGCCGGTATCTGTCAATGTTCAACATAAAACACAGATTAACAAACTCCTCCCCCGCAGCCGGACTAACCTCGTAAGTCCAGTGGTGGTCTCCCAGTCTATATTAATTCTTTCTTTGTTTGAAAGTCCAATTGAGAAAAAAAATCTTCATTCAAATCATCCATTTTCCAGCAAAAGAAATAGCATTTTGGGCTGATTGTTTGTTAGCAACTCTGGTATGAACTTTATGCTCACTATCACCCCTAGCGGTGAGGCACAGATACCGCCTGCCTCACGCCAAGCTTTTTCCTTGTGTGTTCATCTACGATCAAAAGACTTAAACTAAATATAAATTGTACACACATACGTGCAATACACTACTAAACACTAAGAGGAGTTTAAAAAATGTTTTTAAAGCAGGATATTTGAAACAAACGGTGATATATCAACTGCACGAGCTGAGTGCACTCAGACACACACACACACACTGTGAGGGAGCGGTCTGAGGTGAGGCACGCAGGAGCGCTGCCTCACCTCGTCTCTTTGAATAGGAATAACGGGATTTCGGCGATTTTGACTTCAGAAATGATCAAAACTGATGGGAACCGTGCCGAATATACATTAAAAGCATAGGACAGTGGATATAAATTATATATTTAAACTAAAATAATTATTAGTTTCCAATAATGGCAGGTGAGGCTCTGCCTCCCCTGCCTCCCCTGACTGCACGTCCCTGTCTCACAGCTATCTTTGCTGCTTTGGTTATGAGCCAATGTTTATGAATGATCAGTTTAATCTGTTCATCAGCTCATTCTCCACTTCACACTCACTGCAGCTTCACATTGGGCCTTTTTCCTTTTTGCTGTCTGTCAAAAATAACATGATGTAGTTGGGTTATTATTCATTTAATACGAATATTATGATTGTCCGTTTTCTGTTATATTTGAACATTTGTTAAATGTTATTTAATATGTGTTAATATGTTCCTCCTTTATCTCTCAAATAGATAAATATTTGAGAGACAATATTTATCCTGTGTGACATCAATAAAGTTTCTTATCTTAAAATACAAGCCACAATGAAAGGCTTGGCCGCGCACTATTACAGGTTAGCATTAGCTACAAGTTAGCTTGAATACATGTTCAAGTTAACTGTCTCTGAAATCAGACAAAATGTTTTATCAGAACTGCACAGCTTTTCCCACAGCTTCAGTTGGTCTTTGGGAAACCTAAAGAATGAGCTTCATGTAAACTTTGATGATAACAGCCGAAAACAAAGCAGAGCATTCTGCACCATTCACTTAAACCGCGTGTGTGTGTGTGTGTGTGTGTGTGTGTGTGTGTGTGTGTGTGTGTACCTCTCCAGGTGTGTGTATGTGTGTGTGTGTGTACCTCTCCAGGTGTGTGTATGTGTGTGTGTGTGTACCTCTCCAGGTGTGTGTGTGTGTGTGTGTGCGTACCTCTCCAGGTGTGTGTGTGTGTGTGTGTGTGTACCTCTCCAGGTGTGTGTAGTGTCTGGACAGTACGTTCTTCACCAGAGTCACACTCTTGTTGTAAACACACTCGTCCTGTTTCTTTTTTGCAAAATACAGTTTAGCTCTGAGGAAGTATCCCACAGGCCACAGCCACTCCTGCAGGGGGAGAGAGGGGAGGAGAGAGGGGAGGGGGGGGAGAGAGGGGAGAGAGGGAGGGGGGGAGAGGGGGGGAGAGAGGGGAGGAGAGAGGGGAGGGGGGGGAGAGAGGGGAGAGAGGGGAGGAGAGAGGGGAGGGGGGGAGAGAGGGGAGAGAGGGGAGAGGGGGGGAGGGGGGGAGAGAGAGGAGAGAGGGAGGGGGGGAGAGGGGGGGAGAGAGGGGAGGAGAGAGGGGAGGGGGGGGAGAGAGGGGAGAGAGGGGAGGAGAGAGGGGAGGGGGGGAGAGAGGGGAGAGAGGGGAGAGGGGGGGAGGGGGGGAGAGAGAGGAGAGAGGGAGGGGGGGAGAGAGGGGGGAGAGAGGGGGAGAGGGGGGGAGGGGGGGAGGGGGGGAGAGAGGGAGGGAGGGGGGGGGGACAGAGGAGGAGAGGAGGGGAGGAGGGGAGAGGGGGAGAGGGGGAGAGAGCGAGAGAGAGAGGGAGGAGAGAGAGGAAGTGGAGAGGGAGGAGGAGAGACAGACACGATTATTAGAATTATTAAGTAGTCCTGTCAGTGTCCAGCAGGGGCAGTAGTGAGCAGCAGGGGGCAGTAGTGAGCAGCAGGGGGCAGTAGTGTGCAGCAGGGGGCAGTAGTGAGCAGCAGGGGGCAGTAGTGTGCAGCAGGGGGCAGTAGTGTGCAGCAGGGGGCAGTAGTGTGCAGCAGGGGGCAGTAGTGAGCAGCAGGGGGCAGTAGTGTCCAGCAGGGGGCAGTAGTGTGCAGCAGGGGGCAGTAGTGAGCAGCAGGGGGCAGTAGTGAGCAGCAGGGGCAGTAGTGAGCAGCAGGGGGCAGTAGTGTCCAGCAGGGGGCAGTAGTGAGCAGCAGGGGCAGTAGTGAGCAGCAGGGGGCAGTAGTGTCCAGCAGGGGGCAGTAGTGTGCAGCAGGGGGCAGTAGTGAGCAGCAGGGGGCAGTAGTGTGCAGCAGGGGGCAGTAGTGAGCAGCAGGGGGCAGTAGTGAGCAGCAGGGGGCAGTAGTGTCCAGCAGGGGGCAGTAGTGTGCAGCAGGGGGCAGTAGTGAGCAGCAGGGGGCAGTAGTGAGCAGCAGGGGGCAGTAGTGTCCAGCAGGGGGCAGTAGTGAGCAGCAGGGGGCAGTAGTGTCCAGCAGGGGGCAGTAGTGAGCAGCAGGGGGCAGTAGTGAGCAGCAGGGGGCAGTAGTGTGCAGCAGGGGGCAGTAGTGAGCAGGCAGGGGGCAGTAGTGAGCAGCAGGGGGCAGTAGTGTCCAGCAGGGGGCAGTAGTGAGCAGCAGGGGGCAGTAGTGAGCAGCAGGGGGCAGTAGTGTCCAGCAGGGGGCAGTAGTGAGCAGCAGGGGGCAGTAGTGAGCAGCAGGGGGCAGTAGTGTCCAGCAGGGGGCAGTAGTGAGCAGCAGGGGGCAGTAGTGTCCAGCAGGGGGCAGTAGTGAGCAGCAGGGGGCAGTAGTGAGCAGCAGGGGCAGTAGTGAGCAGCAGGGGGCAGTAGTGAGCAGCAGGGGGCAGTAGTGTCCAGCAGGGGGCAGTAGTGTGCAGCAGGGGGCAGTAGTGTGCAGCAGGGGGCAGTAGTGAGCAGCAGGGGCAGTAGTGAGCAGCAGGGGGCAGTAGTGAGCAGCAGGGGGCAGTAGTGTCCAGCAGGGGGCAGTAGTGAGCAGCAGGGGGCAGTAGTGTCCAGCAGGGGGCAGTAGTGAGCAGCAGGGGCAGTAGTGTGCAGCAGGGGGCAGTAGTGTCCAGCAGGGGGCAGTAGTGTCCAGCAGGGGGCAGTAGTGTCCAGCAGGGGGCAGTAGTGTCCAGCAGGGGCAGTAGTGAGCAGCAGGGGGCAGTAGTGTCCAGCAGGGGGCAGTAGTGAGCAGCAGGGGGCAGTAGTGTGCAGCAGGGGGCAGTAGTGTCCAGCAGGGGGCAGTAGTGTCCAGCAGGGGGCAGTAGTGTCCAGCAGGGGGCAGTAGTGTCCAGCAGGGGGCGCTCACCGGGCCTTGGTGGTAGTTGAAGCCTTTGGCTCGGTTGTAGTCGTCGTTGTCCAGAGAGTTGTCGTAGACGCCGCAGTAAATCATGTCACTGAAACACAGGAAAACACTGAAACAGAGGAAAACACTGAAACAGAGGAAAACACTGAAACACAGGAAAACACTGAAACAGAGGAAAACACTGAAACACAGGAAAACACTGAAACAGAGGAAAACACTGAAACAGAGGAAAACACTGAAACAGAGGAAAACACTGAAACAGAGGAAAACACTGAAACAGAGGAAAACACTGAAACAGAGGAAAACACTGAAACACAGGAAAACACTGAAACACAGGAAAACACTGAAACAGAGGAAAACACTGAAACACAGGAAAACACTGAAACAGAGGAAAACACTGAAACACAGGAAAACACTGAAACACAGGAAAACACTGAAACACAGGAAAACACTGAAACAGAGGAAAACACTGAAACAGAGGAAAACACTGAAACACAGGAAAACACTGAAACAGAGGAAAACACTGAAACAGAGGAAAACACTGAAACACAGGAAAACACTGAAACAGAGGAAAACACTGAAACAGAGGAAAACACTGAAACACAGGAAAACACTGAAACAGAGGAAAACACTGAAACACAGGAAAACACTGAAACACAGGAAAACACTGAAACACAGGAAAACACTGAAACAGAGGAAAACACTGAAACAGAGGAAAACACTGAAACACAGGAAAACACTGAAACAGAGGAAAACACTGAAACAGAGGAAAACACTGAAACAGAGGAAAACACTGAAACACAGGAAAACACTGAAACACAGGAAAACACTGAAACACAGGAAAACACTGAAACAGAGGAAAACACTGAAACAGAGGAAAACACTGAAACACAGGAAAACACTGAAACAGAGGAAAACACTGAAACAGAGGAAAACACTGAAACAGAGGAAAACACTGAAACAGAGGAAAACACTGAAACAGAGGAAAACACTGAAACAGAGGAAAACACTGAAACAGAGGAAAACACTGAAACACAGGAAAACACTGAAACAGAGGAAAACACTGAAACACAGGAAAACACTGAAACACAGGAAAACACTGAAACACAGGAAAACACTGAAACACAGGAAAACACTGAAACAGAGGAAAACACTGAAACACAGGAAAACACTGAAACACAGGAAAACACTGAAACACAGGAAAACACTGAAACAGAGGAAAACACTGAAACAGAGGAAAACACTGAAACACAGGAAAACACTGAAACAGAGGAAAACACTGAAACAGAGGAAAACACTGAAACACAGGAAAACACTGAAACAGAGGAAAACACTGAAACAGAGGAAAACACTGAAACACAGGAAAACACTGAAACAGAGGAAAACACTGAAACAGAGGAAAACACTGAAACACAGGAAAACACTGAAACAGAGGAAAACACTGAAACACAGGAAAACACTGAAACAGAGGAAAACACTGAAACAGAGGAAAACACTGAAACACAGGAAAACACTGAAACACAGGAAAACACTGAAACAGAGGAAAACACTGAAACAGAGGAAAACACTGAAACAGAGGAAAACACTGAAACACAGGAAAACACTGAAACAGAGGAAAACACTGAAACAGAGGAAAACACTGAAACAGAGGAAAACACTGAAACAGAGGAAAACACTGAAACAGAGGAAAACACTGAAACAGAGGAAAACACTGAAACACAGGAAAACACTGAAACACAGGAAAACACTGAAACAGAGGAAAACACTGAAACACAGGAAAACACTGAAACAGAGGAAAACACTGAAACAGAGGAAAACACTGAAACACAGGAAAACACTGAAACACAGGAAAACACTGAAACACAGGAAAACACTGAAACACAGGAAAACACTGAAACAGAGGAAAACACTGAAACAGAGGAAAACACTGAAACAGAGGAAAACACTGAAACACAGGAAAACACTGAAACAGAGGAAAACACTGAAACACAGGAAAACACTGAAACACAGGAAAACACTGAAACACAGGAAAACACTGAAACAGAGGAAAACACTGAAACACAGGAAAACACTGAAACACAGGAAAACACTGAAACAGAGGAAAACACTGAAACACAGGAAAACACCATTTTCTACTTTGTTCTGAAACTGAAACAGACTCAGGGTCGGATACAGTCGCTGTATCGGACTGTTATGAGGGAGGACACAGAGCTCTGACTGCAGACGCTGCTCCCTCTTCACCTCCTAGGGTCGAGATGACATCACGGAAACAAGCTTCACATGAGTGGGGCTCCCTTAGAGATAGAGAGCTCAGTCACAGGAGGAGCTCGGAGTAGAGCCGCTGCTCCCTTAGAGATAGAGAGCTCAGTCACAGGAGGAGCTCGGAGTAGAGCCGCTGCTCCCTTAGAGATAGAGCAGCTCAGTCACAGGAGGAGCTCGGAGTAGAGCCGCAGCTCCCTTAGAGATAGAGCAACTCAGTCACAGGAGGAGCTCAGTCACAGGAGGAGCTCAGTCACAGGAGGAGCTCGGAGTAGAGCCGCTGCTCCCTTAGAGATAGAGCAACTCAGTCACAGGAGGAGCTCAGTCACAGGAGGAGCTCGGAGTAGAGCCGCAGCTCCCTTAGAGATAGAGGAGCTCAGTCTGGTCCCACAGGATCCAGACCCCGTGGGACCAGACCCCGTGGGACCAGACCCCGTGGGACCAGACTCACTCTGGGTCCAGGGTCTTCATGCCCAGAGGTCCCAGCAGCTTCTTCTCAGCCACCTCCAGAGCGGCCCAGGCCTGGTCCACTGGGAACAGCTCTGGGGCCTGAAAACACAAGGGTCAGTGTTAGCATTAGCATCTGTATACAGTCTGTGTTAGCATTAGCATCTATATACAGTCTGTGTTAGCATTAGCATCTGTATACAGTCTGTGTTAGCATTAGCATCTGTATACAGTCTGTGTTAGCACTAGCATCTGCATACAGTCTGTGTTAGCATTAGCATCTGCATACAGTCTGTGTTAGCATTAGCATCTGCATACAGTCTGTGTTAGCATTAGCATCTGCATACAGTCTGTGTTAGCATTAGCATCTGCATACAGTCTGTGTTAGCATTAGCATCTGCATACAGTCTGTGTTAGCATTAGCATCTGTATACAGTCTGTGTTAGCATTAGCATCTGTATACAGTCTGTGTTAGCATTAGCATCTGTATACAGTCTGTGTTAGCATTAGCATCTGTATACAGTCTGTGTTAGCATTAGCATCTGCATACAGTCTGTGTTAGCATTAGCATCTATATACAGTCTGTGTTAGCATTAGCATCTGTATACAGTCTGTGTTAGCATTAGCATCTGTATACAGTCTGTGTTAGCATTAGCATCTGCATACAGTCTGTGTTAGCATTAGCATCTGCATACAGTCTGTGTTAGCATTAGCATCTGCATACAGTCTGTGTTAGCATTAGCATCTGCATACAGTCTGTGTTAGCATTAGCATCTGTATACAGTCTGTGTTAGCATTAGCATCTGTATACAGTCTGTGTTAGCATTAGCATCTGTATACAGTCTGTGTTAGCATTAGCATCTGCATACAGTCTGTGTTAGCATTAGCATCTGTATACAGTCTGTGTTAGCATTAGCATCTGTATACAGTCTGTGTTAGCATTAGCATCTGTATAGTCTGTGTTAGCATTAGCATCTGTATACAGTCTGTGTTAGCATTAGCATCTGTATACAGTCTGTGTTAGCATTAGCATCTGCATACAGTCTGTGTTAGCATTAGCATCTGCATACAGTCTGTGTTAGCATTAGCATCTGCATACAGTCTGTGTTAGCATTAGCATCTGTATACAGTCTGTGTTAGCATTAGCATCTGTATACAGTCTGTGTTAGCATTAGCATCTGTATAGTCTGTGTTAGCATTAGCATCTGTATACAGTCTGTGTTAGCATTAGCATCTGTATACAGTCTGTGTTAGCATTAGCATCTGTATACAGTCTGTGTTAGCATTAGCATCTGTATACAGTCTGTGTTAGCATTAGCATCTGTATACAGTCTGTGTTAGCATTAGCATCTGTATACAGTCTGTGTTAGCATTAGCATCTGTATACAGTCTGTGTTAGCATTAGCATCTGTATACAGTCTGTGTTAGCATTAGCATCTGTATACAGTCTGTGTTAGCATTAGCATCTGTATACAGTCTGTGTTAGCATTAGCATCTGTATACAGTCTGTGTTAGCATTAGCATCTGTATACAGTCTGTGTTAGCATTAGCATCTGTATACAGTCTGTGTTAGCATTAGCATCTGTATACAGTCTGTGTTAGCATTAGCATCTGTATACAGTCTGTGTTAGCATTAGCATCTGTATACAGTCTGTGTTAGCATTAGCATCTGTATACAGTCTGTGTTAGCATTAGCATCTGTATACAGTCTGTGTTAGCATTAGCATCTGTATACAGTCTGTGTTAGCATTAGCATCTGTATACAGTCTGTGTTAGCATTAGCATCTGTATACAGTCTGTGTTAGCATTAGCATCTGTATACAGTCTGTGTTAGCATTAGCATCTGTATACAGTCTGTGTTAGCATTAGCATCTGCATACAGTCTGTGTTAGCATTAGCATCTGTATACAGTCTGTGTTAGCATTAACATCTGTATACAGTCTGTGTTAGCATTAGCATCTGTATACAGTCTGTGTTAGCACTAGCATCTGCATACAGTCTGTGTTAGCATTAGCATCTGTATACAGTCTGTGTTAGCATTAGCATCTGTATACAGTCTGTGTTAGCATTAACATCTGTATACAGTCTGTGTTAGCATTAGCATCTGTATACAGTCTGTGTTAGCACTAGCATCTGCATACAGTCTGTGTTAGCATTAGCATCTGTATACAGTCTGTGTTAGCATTAGCATCTGTATACAGTCTGTGTTAGCATTAGCATCTGTATACAGTCTGTGTTAGCATTAGCATCTGTATACAGTCTGTGTTAGCATTAGCATCTGTATACAGTCTGTGTTAGCATTAGCATCTGTATACAGTCTGTGTTAGCATTAGCATCTGCATACAGTCTGTGTTAGCATTAGCATCTGTATACAGTCTGTGTTAGCATTAGCATCTGTATACAGTCTGTGTTAGCATTAGCATCTGTATACAGTCTGTGTTAGCATTAGCATCTGTATACAGTCTGTGTTAGCATTAGCATCTGCATACAGTCTGTGTTAGCATTAGCATCTGCATACAGTCTGTGTTAGCATTAGCATCTGTATACAGTCTGTGTTAGCATTAGCATCTGTATACAGTCTGTGTTAGCATTAGCATCTGTATACAGTCTGTGTTAGCATTAGCATCTGTATACAGTCTGTGTTAGCATTAGCATCTGTATACAGTCTGTGTTAGCATTAGCATCTGTATACAGTCTGTGTTAGCATTAGCATCTGTATACAGTCTGTGTTAGCATTAGCATCTGTATACAGTCTGTGTTAGCATTAGCATCTGTATACAGTCTGTGTTAGCATTAGCATCTGTATACAGTCTGTGTTAGCATTAGCATCTGTATACAGTCTGTGTTAGCATTAGCATCTGTATACAGTCTGTGTTAGCATTAGCATCTGTATACAGTCTGTGTTAGCATTAGCATCTGTATACAGTCTGTGTTAGCATTAGCATCTGTATACAGTCTGTGTTAGCATTAGCATCTGTATACAGTCTGTGTTAGCATTAGCATCTGTATACAGTCTGTGTTAGCATTAGCATCTGTCTACAGTCTGTGTTAGCATTAGCATCTGTATACAGTCTGTGTTAGCATTAGCATCTGTATACAGTCTGTGTTAGCATTAGCATCTGTATACAGTCTGTTAGCATTAGCATCTGTATACAGTCTGTGTTAGCATTAGCATCTGTATACAGTCTGTGTTAGCATTAGCATCTGTATACAGTCTGTGTTAGCATTAGCATCTGTATACAGTCTGTGTTAGCATTAGCATCTGTATACAGTCTGTGTTAGCATTAGCATCAGTATACAGTCTGTTGTGTGCAAGCCCCGGCGATCCAAGATGGCGCCCTATTCAAATGAATGGTTGTGCTCAGTGGCGCTTTGTGACGGCATGGGGGCTGAAAGATTAGCGGAAGTCGCCTGAAACTCTCAAAGATCTATGGGAAACTCTCAAAGATCTATGGGAAACTCGCAAAGATCTATGGGAAACTCTCAAAGATCTATGGGAAACTCTCAAAGATCTATGGGAAACTCTCAAAGATCTTTGGGAAACTCTCAAAGATCTATGGGAAACTCTCAAAGATCTCTGGGAAACTCTCAAAGATCTATGGGAAACTCTCAAAGATCTATGGGAAACTCTCAAAGATCTATGGGAAACTCTCAAAGATCTTTGGGAAACTCTCCTGTATTTGGGCATCGTCTGGTCCTCCCGGTTCTGTGCAGTGGATGATCTCCCATAATGCATTGCGCCAAACACGCGTGTGTGGGTCTCACACCGGGTCTCACGCACGTGCACAGAGGGTCTCACGCACGTGCACAGAGGGTCTCACGCACGTGCACAGAGGGGCTCGGCCGCGCTCTGACCAATCAGAGCAGTTCATCAGAGCGGGAGTTAGAGCGAGAGCCAGAGGAGCAGAGTTTGTGGCACTAAAGTGTGGATTTAAACAAAACCGAAGGATTTAAGAAGAAAAAAAGTTCAGGATGACAAGGGACACTAAAATCCCCACAAAATACTATCTTTATTAAAGCTGTAGGTTCTCTGTCAGGTTCTCTGTCAGCTGAGGTCGAGCTGTTTTAATATGCATTGAGTTCTATGGGGAAAATTTCTGGTTAGCCCACGTGAATCTGGTCTCAAGATGGTCTCTCTCTGGTCTCTCTCTGGTCTCTCTCTGGTCTCTCTCTGGTCTCTCTCTGGTCTCTCTCTGGTCTCTCTCTGGTCTCTCTCTGGTCTCTCTCTGGTCTCTCTCTGGTCTCTCTCTGGTCGCTCTCTGGTCTCTCTCTGGTCTCTCTCTGGTCTCTCTCTGGTCTCTCTCTGGTCTCTCTCTGGTCTCTCTCTGGTCTTTCTCTGCTCTCTCTCTCTCTGGTCTGTCTCTGGTCTCTCTCTGGTCTCTCTCTGGTCTCTCTCTGGTCTCTCTCTGGTCTCTCTCTGGTCCGTCATGTTTGAACTGTTTGATTTTCTGATGTGTTCTCGGTGAATCTACAACTCTGTAAAGTCCTTAAAGACTTTAGACTGCTGCTGGGATTTAGAGCGATACACAAAAACTCAAGACCAGACCCAAGACCAGACCCACACCCAAGAACAGACCCAGAACCAAGACCAGACCCAAGACCAAAGACAAGACCCAGACCTAAGACCGAAGACCAGAACCAGACCAAGGATCAGACACACACCCAAGACCAGACCAAGGACTAGAGACACACCCAAGAACAGACCCAGAACCAAGACCGGACCCAAGACCAAAGACCAGACCCAAGACCAAGGACCGGACACACACCCAAGACCAGACCCAGCACCAAGACCGGACCCAAGACCAAAGACCAGACCAAAGACCAGACCCAGACCCAGACCCAAGACCCAAGACCAGACCCAGACCCAGACCTGGACGTTTTATTTTGAGAAGTACTGTGGTCAAATTACTAAGACCAAATCAAGACCAAACATGGTCTAAAATCAGACTTACACTAAAACCCAACCTGGACCAAGACCCAGACCCGGACCTGGACCCAGACCTCCAGACAGACCTGTCTCCTCTGCTCCTCGCTCCTGGAGGTGTCATGTCTGCTCCGGATGATGGGTCCTCCCACTGCTCCCCAAATGTCACATGACTCAGCATTTATCTCAGATTCTACCATGACTCAGCAGGACAGGGATCCCTGGTTTACCTCTCTCTCTCTCTGGTCTCTCTCTCTGCTCTCTCTCTCTCTGGTCTCTCTCTCTGCTCTCTCTCTCTCTGGTCTCTCTCTCTGCTCTCTCTCTCTCTGCTCTCTCTCTCTCTACTCTCTGGTCTCTCTTTAATCTTTAATCTTTCTCTGTCTCGCTGTCTACGCTATCTCGAGACTCGGATTGCTTGGTTGGCTGCAATTAGAAGAAAGGACCTTACTTTCGATCACACACCCCTGTAGACAGAGAGTGTGTCCTCTGCATTTTTCACGTCTGGTACGTTCTCTAAAAATGGATTATGTAGTTGTCTTCTTAAACTAGGAAGTGTAGGTATAGCATATGTTATTATAGGTTACTGTATGCTTTGTCTCTGAGTCTTTGATACCCTCGCTCAGGCTGTTTTCTTACTTAGCACGTGTTATGTTCTGCGTAGGTCTTTGCCAGTGTAAAGAGCATAGATTACAAATAGATTGTACAACATAATCTAATTATACTGCTTGTAACATAAACGCTCATATGACATTATGATGTGGACCTAAAAAGTTCCTTGAGATGCTGTTCAAGACATAGTTGCCAGTTAAAGCTTGATTACATAGATTGATGCAAATTATTATATAAATAATATGTTTGTTATTATTCACAGTGTAGGTAAACCAGCATATGAGAAGTTGGAGAACCACCCATACTGGACACTCATGCCCTGTTGTTAGGCCACAATGATGTACAAGCAAAACAGATGAAGCTGATATATCAGCGGCAAGTAAGGGCGCAGGTCCCAGCCCACTAGGATCGCAGACCACCCCAGACCCAACACCAGCCGCAGTCGCCGCCACCGCCATCCAGCCCTAACAGCAGCACCGCCACATCCCTAGACCAGTCCGCAGGCGCCGCCCAGCCACCAGCCCTAGACCAGCGCCTCCAGGCGCCGCCGCCACCAGCCCTAAGACCCAGCCGCAGGCGCCGCCACCACCTACCCTAGACCAGCCGCAGGCAGCCGCACGAAGCCACTCGCAAGCCCTAGACCCAGCCAGCAGGCTCCGCCGCCGTCCAGCCCCTAGAACCAGCCGCAGGCGCCGCCGCCCGCCAGCCCTAGAACCAGCCGCCAGCTATGACCGCGGACCCAAATGAATTGGACTCTGCACATCTAGACGAGATGTTATCAACAATCTTCTTGAAGAAAACAACAGCTGAAGCGTTGAGCCTTGATACGTACCGATGAATGAGAACTTTCGAGTGGTGATGAAAACACAGTGAAGTATTACACGGGGGCTTCAAACTTTGCATTGTTCCAACACTTCTACACTATTCTACCTAACTCCAGATCTGCCACAAGGTAGAATGAAGAAGCTCTCACCTCCAGCATGTCCTATTGACTTTAATGCGCCTCAGACTGACCTTCCAATACAGCACACACCATCTGTTTAGAGTACATAAGACAACAGTCCGCCGATGCCTTTCACTAACCATAAACCATACCCTTGTGTGTAGATGTTAACAGCACAGCTGTGTCCATTGGTTCAATGGCCAAGGTAGGGAATGCTTATTGACCATAAGGCCACACCAGTTTGTGGGAGTCATTTGTAACAATGTGGCTGCCATTTTGGTACTGCTTACGGCGGAGTTGCATCGATAAACCTTCCTATGTACTAGCAGCAGGCACAGACTTTTTCTCAAAACAAACCGGCAATACACCTAGGAAATACCTAATCGTGATCACGTGGCCCATGGTGTAATTTCCTTCATATCGAACGGGTGGGTTGGGGCGGCACAGAAGCACATGCATATAACCGAAGCAAAGAGTTTCCTGAACAAGCTGTTACCAAGGTGACCTTGTGCTGGCAGATAGAGGCAATAATATAAGAGAACCTGAGGCATATGTGTTGCTGAATTAAAAACACCTACAGTTCGCACCAGGGGTCGTGGCTCAGCTAGAGGCTTAAAGAAGTGTATGAACTAGGGCCCTAGCACATCTCAGAGATTCACAGGAGTGGAGAGGGTGATCGTGTTGTGCGCAACAAATTCAAATTCCCTTACACTCAACTGACCTGTGCACATGCTTGTCAAATGTGATGGGTGAAAACCAATGCCTATTGGATAAATGTTGGTCAATGATGCTGTGCCTTAATGAGAAATGTGCAAAAGTTGTTTGTTTGAAGTACGCTTATTCTTTTACTGTATCTTTATTTTAAATAATGCTGAACCAACTGATATGGTATACGGCCAATATTTATTGAGAAATGAATATTTTTTTGTTTATCAAACGTGAGTCCTCAAGTACTGTTTCCATCATGTAAACATGCCCAACCTAGGTACAAATGATAATAAGAGTATATTTTTTCATATATAGTGCAAAGTGGACACAAACACTGCTAAACAACTGCTAAACAATATGAGGAGCCGCGTGAAATTTCTGGGGGCCGTGCCGTCCGTTGCGGCAGCCCAATATGTCCCGACAGGCTCATAGCCCCGCCCCCAAATCACCCCAAACTCGGCACGTGACTCCCTCATTCTCATACTTTACAATGACTGCTCCACATCACGCACGACACACGTACGCGGTCTCTCCCTGGTCCTTCCCTGGTCCTTCCCTGGTCTCTCCCTGGTCCTTCCTTGGTCTTCCCTGGTCCTTTCCTGGTCCTTCCCTGGTCTCTCCCTGGTCCTTCCCTGGTCTCTCTCTGGTCTCTCTCTGGTCTCTCTCTGGTCTCTCCCTGGTCCTTCCCTGGTCCTTCCCTAGTCCTTCCCTGGTCTCTCCCTGGTCCTTCCCTGGTCCTTCCCTGGTCTCTCTCTGGTCTCTCCCTGGTCCTTCCCTGGTCCTTCCCTAGTCCTTCCCTGGTCTCTCCCTGGTCCTTCCCTGGTCCTTCCCTGGTCTCTCTCTGGTCCTTCCCTGGTCGTTCCCTGGTCTCTCTCTGGTCCTTCCCTGGTCTCTCCCTGGTCCCTCTCTGGTCTCTCTCTGGTCTCTCTCTGGTCTCTCCCTGGTCCCTCTCTGGTCTCTCTCTGGTCTCTCCCTGGTCTCTCCCTGGTCCCTCTCTGGTCTCTCTCTGGTCTCTCTCTGGTCTCTCTCTGGTCTCTCCCTGGTCTCTCCCTGGTCTCTCTCTGGTCTCTCTCTGGTCTCTCCCTGGTCTCTCCCTGGTCCCTCTCTGGTCTCTCCCTGGTCTCTCCCTGGTCTCTCCCTGGTCCCTCTCTGGTCTCTCTCTGGTCTCTCCCTGGTCTCTCCCTGGTCCCTCTCTGGTCTCTCTCTGGTCTCTCTCTGGTCTCTCTCTGGTCTCTCCCTGGTCTCTCCCTGGTCTCTCCCTGGTCCCTCTCTGGTCTCTCCCTGGTCTCTCTCTGGTCTCTCTCTGGTCTCTCCCTGGTCTCTCCCTGGTCCCTCTCTGGTCTCTCCCTGGTCCCTCTCTGGTCTCTCTCTGGTCCCTCTCTGGTCTCTCTCTGGTCTCTCTCTGGTCTCTCTCTGGTCTCTCCCTGGTCTCTCCCTGGTCTCTCCCTGGTCCCTCTCTGGTCTCTCCCTGGTCTCTCTCTGGTCTCTCTCTGGTCTCTCCCTGGTCTCTCCCTGGTCCCTCTCTGGTCTCTCCCTGGTCCCTCTCTGGTCTCTCTCTGGTCTCTCTCTGGTCTCTCTCTGGTCTCTCCCTGGTCTCTCCCTGGTCTCTCTCTGGTCTCTCTCTGGTCTCTCCCTGGTCCCTCTCTGGTTTCTCTCCGGTCTCTCCCTGGTCTCTCCCTGGTCTCTCCCTGGTCTCTCTCTGGTCCTTCCCTGGTCCTTCCCTGGTCCTTCCCTGGTCCTTCCCTGGTCCTTCCTGGTGTCTCTCACATGTATCTGTTGCAGGCGGTGGATCTTCAGCTGGTGTCATTGGGGTCTGGGGTCTCTGACTGAGGCCATGGCAGGTCTGGCTCCTCTCCTCAGATAAAAACTAAGACTGTCAAACACTTACATTTTTTAATTGAGTTAAAGAAGCTACACTCGATTTATTTTATAAGTTCATAAAAATGCTTATTACTAAAAACAAGTTGTTTTATAATCTGTAATTACTGTAAAACTGGAGCTCATTGATTCAGCTGTGGATGAACTCAGTAAAAAGTACTGAGTAGAGACTTAGCGTGACGCCCGCTCTCCTCCAATCACAGACTGCGTCCTCTAGGCCACGCCTCCTCTAGCCTCTACAGCGCTGCTAAACACAGTAGCATGTTAGCATAAGTGGCTATAACTCCTCTGGCTGTAACTGCAGACACAGCAAAACAGCCCAAACTATCTACGCTCGGACTATCAACGCTCGGACTATAAACGCTCGGACTATAAACGCTCAGACTATCTACGCTCGGACTATCAACGCTCGGACTATCTGCGCTCGGACTATCTGCGCTCGGACTATCTGCGCTCGGACTATCTACGCTCGGACTATCTACGTTCGGACCATACGTTCGGACCATACGGTCGGACTATCAACGCTCGGACTATCTACACTCGGACTATCTACACTCGGACTATCTACGCTCGGACTGTCTACGCTCGGACTATCTACGCTCGGACTATCTACGCTCGGACTATCTACGCTCGGACTATCTACGCTCGGACTATCTACGCTCGGACTATCTACGCTCGGACTATCTGCGCTCGGACTATCTACGCTCAGACTATCTACGCTCGGACTATCTACGCTCGGACTATCTACGCTCGGACTATCTACGCTCGGACTATCTACGCTCGGACTATCTACACTCGGACTATCTACGCTCGGACTGTCTACGCTCGGACTGTCTACGCTCGGACTATCTGCGCTCGGACTATCTACGCTCAGACTATCTACACTCGGACTATCTACGCTCGGACTGTCTACGCTCGGACTATCTACGCTCGGACTATCTACGCTCGGACTATCTACGCTCGGACTATCTACGCTCGGACTATCTACGCTCGGACTATCTACGCTCGGACTATCTGCGCTCGGACTATCTACGCTCAGACTATCTACGTTCGGACCATACG